TTGCTATTCCTGACCGATCGCCAATAGCAGAGCTTATTTCTAAACCTGTTTTGTAATGGTCAATGGCTTTGTGATATTCTCCTAAACTAAGATAGGCGCTTCCCAAATTGGCATTGTTTCTTGCTATTTCTGACCGCTCGCCAATAGCAGTGCTTATTTCTAAACCTGTTTTGTAATCGTCAATGGCTTTCTGATATTCCCCTAAACTATGATATGCATTTCCCAAATTGCCATTGTTAATTGCTATTCCTGACCGATTGCCAATAGCAGTGTTTATTTCTAAACCTGTTTTGTAATGGTCAATGGATTTCTGATACTCTCCTAAACGTCGATAGGCATTGCCCAAATTCCCATTGTCACTAGCTATTCCTGACCGATCGCCAATAGTAGTGCTTATTTCTAAACCTGTTTTGTAATGGTCAATGGCTTTCCGATATTCTCCTAAACTATGATATGCGGCGCCAAAATTGCCATTGTTAGTTGCTATTCCTGACCGATCGCCAATAGCAGTGCTTATTTCTGAACCTGTTTTGAAATGGTGAATGGCTTTCTGATATTCTCCTGAACGTCGATAGGCATTGCCCAAATTGGCATTCCAACTTGCTATTCCTGACCGATCGCCAATAATAGTGCTTATTTCTAAACCTGTTTTGTAATGGTCAATGGCTTTCTGATATTCTCCTAAACTAAGATAGGCAGTCCCCAAATTGCCATTGTTAGTTGCTATTCCTGACCGATCGCCAATAGCAGTGCTTATTTCTAAACCTGTTTTGCTATGGTCAATGGCTTTCCGATATTCTCCTAAACTAACATAGGCACTGCCCAAATTGCCATTGTTACTTGCTATTCCTGACCGATCGCCAATAGCAGAGCTTATTTCTAAACCTGTTTTGTAATGGTCAATGGCTTTGTGATATTCTCCTAAACATCGATAGGCATTGCCCAAATTGCAATTGTTAGTTGCTATTCCTGACCGATCGCCAATAGCAGTGCTTATTTCTAAACCTGTTTTGTAATGGTCAATGGCCTTCTGATATTCTCCTAAACTAAGATAGGCGTTTCCCAAATTGCCATTGTCACTTGCTATTCCTGACCGATCGCCAGTAGCAGTGCTTATTTCTAAACCTGTTTTGCAATGGTCAATGGCTTTCTGATATTCTCCTAAACGTCGATATGCATTGCCCAAATTGCCATTCCCACTTGCTATTCCTGACCGATCGCCAATAGCAGTGCTTATTTCTAAACCTGTTTTGTAGTGGTCAATGGCTTTCTCATATTCTCCTAAACTAAGATAGGCACTGCCCAAATTGCCATTGTTACTTGCTATTCCTGACCGATCGCCAATAGCAGTGCTTATTTCTAAACCTGTTTTGTAATGGTCAATGGCTTTCTGATATTCTCCTAAATTATGATTTGCAATGCCCAAATTACCATTGTTAGTTGCTATTCCCGACTGATCGCCAATAGCAGTGCTTATTTCTAAACCTGTTTTGTAATGGTCAATGGCTTTCTGATATTCTCCTAAACGTCGATATGCATTGCCCAAATTGCCATTCCCACTTGCTATTCCTGACCGATCGCCAATAGCAGTGCTTATTTCTAAACCTGTTTTGTAGTGGTCAATGGCTTTCTCATATTCTCCTAAACTAAGATAGGCACTGCCCAAATTGCCATTGTTACTTGCTATTCCTGACCGATCGCCAATAGCAGTGCTTATTTCTAAACCTGTTTTGTAATGGTCAATGGCTTTCCAAAATTCTCCTAAACTAACATAGGCACAGCCCAAATTGCCATTGTTACTTGCTATTCCTGACCGATCGCCAATAGCAGTGCTTATTTCTAAACCTGTTTTGTAATGGTCAATGGCTTTCTGATATTCTCCTAAATTATGATTTGCAATGCCCAAATTACCATTGTTAGTTGCTATTCCCGACTGATCGCCAATAGCAGTGCTTATTTCTAAACCTGTTTTGTAATGGTCAATGGCTTTCTGATATTCTCCTAAACGTCGATATGCATTGCCCAAATTGCCATTCCCACTTGCTATTCCTGACCGATCGCCAATAGCAGTGCTTATTTCTAAACCTGTTTTGTAGTGGTCAATGGCTTTCTCATATTCTCCTAAACTAAGATAGGCACTGCCCAAATTGCCATTGTTACTTGCTATTCCTGACCGATCGCCAATAGCAGTGCTTATTTCTAAACCTGTTTTGTAATGGTCAATGGCTTTCTGATATTCTCCTAAATTATGATTTGCAATGCCCAAATTACCATTGTTAGTTGCTATTCCCGACTGATCGCCAATAGCAGTGCTTATTTCTAAACCTGTTTTGTAATGGTCAATGGCTTTCTGATATTCTCCTAAACGTCGATATGCATTGCCCAAATTGCCATTCCCACTTGCTATTCCTGACCGATCGCCAATAGCAGTGCTTATTTCTAAACCTGTTTTGTAATGGCCAATGGCCATCTGATATTCTCCTAAACTAAGATAGGCGTTTCCCAAATTGCCATTGTTACTTGCTATTCCTGACCGATCGTCAATAGCAGTGCTTATTTCTAAATCTGTTCTGTTATTGTCGGACTCTGCTATGTTCTTTTCAGAAGCCATTGAATTACCTAATCTTTAATCCTTTTTCCTTAATTTAATCTATCTGAAACAAAGTCATTTAAGAAACGATTAGCAGGATAGATCATGTCATCGATCTGTAGAGCATGGAGGGTGACTTGTATTTGAACTTTTATTTATACTGTTGGTATTTAGGAAGAGAGTGTTAATCTCAGGACAAGTAATTCACGTATGCCTAAAACTTAATATTTTGTGTTAGCTTCTCCAGGGCCGAAACTACTCGGGAGGTGCGGGTGGGGTAGTGGTGTAACCCGCCCCAAAAAGAAGTCAAGAAAGGGGGTCAAACTTGCCCAGAGGGGTGCCCGGATGCTGGAATTGCGGAACGTCTTAAATAATAAGGAATATTCTGAAAAATTGAGGTAGAAAGAAAGTTTCAAAAAGTATTTTTACCCCCCCCCCCCATTATATCAAATTAGCGTTTGAAAAAATTTTGGCCGTTTCGTTTTAGGAAAAAACCCGTCGACCTTCCCCTCATTCACCCGGTCGCCAAAATTTTCCGGAAAATTGTTTGCTTTCAGGAAACATTTTATGAGGGGGCCCCCAATTTTTGGATTCACCCCCACCCGAACCAGATACCGGTCGGCACGGCCCTTAGTTTGTCTCCCTATCCATATCCGAATCTTCAAAATACGAACAAACCCAAACAAATCCAACAAAGTCAACAAATCCGACAGATCAAACAAACCTAACGATCCAACAAACCAAACAGATCCAACAGATCCAACAAACTCAACAAACCCAACAGATCCAGCAAAGTCAACAGATCCAATAGACCAAACAAGCCCAACAGATCCAACATATCCAACATTCCCAACTGATGCAACAAACCCAAGAGCACAACAGACCCAACCAAAACCCAATAGACCCGGCTAAACCCAAGAGCACAATAGACCCAACAAACCCAACAGGTCCAACTAACACAACAGATCCAACAAAACGCAACAGCACAACAGAATCAACAAAACCCAACAGACCCAACAAAACCCAACAGACCCACCAAAACCCAGCAGACCCAACAAAACCCAACAGACCAAACAAAACACAACAGCACAACAGCACAACAGACCTAACAAAACCAAACAGCGCAACAGACTCAACAGCACAACACACCCAACAAAACCCAACAGCAGCGCAAAACCCAACAGACCCAACAAAACCCAACACCACAACAGACCTAACAAAACCCAACAAAAGTAGTGTAGGGACGAGAGTTCCGACTGGATTTTTTATTTGTGCCCGATCGAAGTCCCAATTTTCCGTACGGACGTCCTCCAGACCACCCGGTTCTCCTTCGCCCGCCCCTGAAGGGGCTGTTTTGGCTCGCCCGTTTCCTACAACCGCTTTCCACCCGACTTCCTCCTCCCCGTCCGCTTACCTTCGCCAGTCCTGCGGAGCGCGTTCGGCGTGCATACCGCTGATTTTGGGCTTCCCTGGCACGCACGCCGTCGTCTTTGTCCGACATGTTGTTATCGGTGCCTGCGGAGTGCTTTCCGCCGGTTTTCGACTTGTCCGGACTTGACTTGCACCCTTTCAACGCCCGACCTTTGATTGTTTTGCGACCGACTTACGCCCTGTTTGGACTGTGTATAGACTTAGGTGAGGTACGCACACGCTGACAGAATCAACACCTTAAAGACAAAGTTTTCCCAAAGTAAATAAAACATATCCATTTATACCGAGGTAGCCGAATTCTCCAAAGATTCGTTCGTCTTGGAAGATGCCGTCGAGGACAAGTTCAGATCTATAAAAATTAATCCAGCGGAATTGAACCAAGGTGAGGATTGTCTGTCCTACGGAGTGAACAAGGACGACAAGTTCGGGAAGACCACTTACTCCATGTCCATCGCCTTAGGTGGTAAGGAGGAGTTTGTGTCCGTTCTGGAGCTTGTTGAGAATGTGTGTTCCGACCGTTTTGATACCGGCGGCAAAAACATTATGAAGTGTTTCTGGTGGAAAGGAAAGAGTGCCACCTTATACGTCAAGATCGACGGTGAAACGGAGATCTACCCTCCGCAGGGAGACGATTCCGTAGACCCCAAAAAATATCAGGACAAAAGGTTCCATTTCGATGCGATCGTCAAGATCGAGAGCATCTACGTGTCCGACAAGACCACCTCCATTCAGGTAAAGCTGTAGAGGCGAAGATAAACTGGAAGAATAGCCAAAGCAGGCGAGGAATAGAATTTTGCGGTAAATCGTCAGATTTAGGAAGTAAGAAAGAGTTTTAATATTCACTTTCAAATATTAAAATGCAATAACCAGTTTCCAATAATTAAAATAAGAATGATTTCAACCGTTATCGGTATTAGCATGCAGAGCACCAGGCTCAGCCACACCAGCTTCCGTAACATATGAATTCTCGTCATTTATTTTGTCATACTTTTTACCGTTGCACTGACATAGCAGATTTGGGTATGTACCCTCACAGTGATGTCTCCTCTTTCGATACCGATGCCGAAGCTAAACATTTTCTGTCTTCGGTGATTTTTTGTCGTACTAATTTGCTCCGTCGTAGATTTCAGGTTTTGCGGATAGGCATCCTGTTTTTATTTCTTTTTCTTACTGTCTTCCTGCGTTGTGATGCAGTTTTCCTTACACACGTATTTGTAATTTTTGACATTGGAGCTGTTAAATTCGACTTTAGCATTTGCTGCACCGAAGGTTAGTTTTCCTTTGCTTATTTTTAGACCGACGTTGACCTCCTTTCTTTTCTTTGTTCATTTTCATGTATGCGAAAACAAAATGCCATTTAATTTGATCATCGTAGGCATGACAGCTTGCGAAAAACACTAATATTATCGCGAACTTATCGAAAGAAGACTTCATGAAATTCAGTGAGTCTATGAACCGTATGTTAAACGAAACATTATTCATTTTTTCGACTAAGCCAATTTGTTTCGTTATGCTTTTAAACGTTTCCTCATTTAGCGAAATTCCTCCCACTTTCTCCCCGTTTTCCGCCAAAATCGGCAAAAACAAGTGCTCATCATTTCCCTCCAAATTGTGGAATATAACCGGCAAAAAGTTGGGAACCCTGGCAGCAAGATTACAACGGTTACAGGCGGTTCCTCGATACCGCCCCGTAAAATGACAATTGCCCCGAACCTTACCCAATTGTCTCTTACCCATCCCATCCATACGCTTTTTGCAGAAGTGACAGTGTGTCGACACTAAGAAGTTCTGCTCATCATCCCCAGTCATCTTCACCGGAACCTTCTCTCTAAAATATCTTTCGAGTAAATCCTTACAATCTCGGTCAGACTTTTAATAAAATCCGACATTACGTCATGATCATATCTTTCTTTTCGAACATTCGGAAGATGGGCTCAAAATCCGTAATAAAATCCCGCGCTAAAATGATGTACGAACACGATATCGGATCATAGAGCTTCTTCAATCTATTCCTAGCTTGTTCCGACCCCGACATTCTTTCCGTCCCAGTGCTTATCCGGAACAGCTCTTATCATGCATTCTATGTCAGCATATGCAACAAAAGGCCCCCACTCCGTGTGTCCCCACTTGTTAAACTCCATGGACGAACCCATAAGGTATTTTCTTCCGTCGGATGTCTTTTTCTCCTTAATCTCCGGATAGATCGTCCGCTGTTGATCTAGGTTTTGCATTCCTCCAGATGTCCTTCCAAAATCCTCTTATTCTCAAAATGGTTCAAACAATAGACATAATTCCACTGCACCGTTATGCTTTCTCATCTGCTTCGAAAGTAAGCGACTCAGGCTCTTCACGACACTGTAATCGCTATGTTGGTAAAACAATTCACACTTCTGTCATATTCTATCCCGATGGGTCCTGTAAGGGAATGAACATATATTGCCTGAAGAGGTGCCTTCCCCGGTCCGCCAGCCTCCACTACTTCCTCTATTCCGAAAACGTTTCCCCCATGCGGTTATTCTTGGAAAATATTCCTACATCCTTCACGGGAAGCGGAAACAGTAGTCCGTCCCAGTTGTAGTTTAAGGCCTGCTATCGTAACTTCTTCGTGGCGATGTTTCCGTCCTTCTCCACCGGATGTAAGACACGTGTTACAGCCCACTGCCACAATTGCCATTTTCTCCGCCAGAAACTCGGAATTTCGGAAAACTTACTTTCTCGCACAACCACAAATTCGGTAATGGTGACATCCAGCCGAACCATATTCCTGAATCGCCATCTGGAATCATTCTTCTGGAATTTACTGAAATCTTCCGTTAGTTTGGCGCACGCGCTGTCGTACTTTTTGGAGATGTTAGTCACGGGATAAACTTCAGCGTTGCGACAGTCGAAATACTGGGAGTCCGTCTGCGACTTCCCCGTCGGTGGGTGCAGCTTTTCCAAAACACAATAAAGAGCAATCTGGAACTTCAGCGGTCTCTTCGAGGATTCAAAAAGTTTCAAAACCTCAGCCTTTCCCATAAACAGGAACTCCTGAACACCCACCGGTATGTCGGCTTGAATGGCGAAAAGTATCGGAGTAAGGTCCAACTTACCCCTTTCCTCTCTATATCTTAAAAAGTTTATTCCCGACCTTACGCCTCGTCTTCCTGAACTCGTCGGAACCCTTCCATCCTTTCTCCGCTTCCTACTACTTCCGCCGGTACCTCACCCGAGCCTTTTCCTTAACAATTTCCTTCTTCCACACCTTGATCTCCTCCTTCCAGCTTGGCACCACCTTTCGTCGTCGCTTGTCCTCGCTTGCAATCTCCTTCATCCAAGCTGCGGCTTCCTTCTGTCGCTTTAAGTCAGCCTCGGCCTGATTTCTACGTTCTAGGTATTGTGCTGCAACTTCTGCAATTTCCCTCCTCCATCTTCTGGATATCTCCTTTTCTGCTGTCTTTCGCGCTTTCTCGTAGTGCTTGTTAATCTTGGCTCTTCTTCTGGCATCTTCCTTTTCAATGTCTTTCCGCGCTTTCTTGTATTCTCTTCCCACCGTCTTTCGCCGCTTCTCCATTTGTTTCTTCGTCTGCTTTACGGCATTACCTTTTAGTTTTTCGATGGTCTTGAATAAGTCATCTTGATCATGATGACTGAGTATCGGTCGTCGTTTGTTCTTCTCCGTCTTCCGGAGACCGTTTAGACTTAGGTTATTTCTATTCATTGTTTTATTTACTATAAAAAAGTTTAGTCTATAAACTAATCCCAAAGTCGATTCCGTTTCCAACCAAAAGGTTTGGAAAAACATTGAATACGCCATATGTCCGCAATAGTGTCCACAGTTTTTGGACATGCGGACGAAGTCCCTTGATTTGTTCTATTTACTATGGAAAACTTTGTCTTTAAGGTGTTGATTCAGTTTCTGAATTTTCCGACATCAACTTTTCTGTATTTACATCAAAGACCCTTCCTTATTCCTTTTCGGTCTGCCCACAACACAACACAACAC